TTATGTTAATACTCTATTTTTTTATTAACATACAAATTGCTGTAGATACGTACTTCATTCAGTCTACGCTGGAAACAATGGTTTATTCATTGGTCACAACACTAATATTAGGCGAGTCTGAGGGTCGGTTCAGAGTAGCTCGGTGGCGTAGTGAATAAGCGCCATGGCCCGTGATTGTAGTTGTTAAGCAACTTTCACAAAGGACAGTCACAGGATGTGTGAAAAAAAAATATATCTCAAGCAACTCCAAGCTTCGGAAGGCACGTAAAGCGACTGGTCCCGGTTGTATTTGCAGTCGTTAATATCCTCCAATCCGCATTGGGCCAGTATGGAGGGTCGTGGCCCATCCTCCTAAACCCTGAAGGAAGGCCTGAGCTCCTGCAGTTGGTGACGTAAAAGGGCTGATGATGATGGTGATGATGATGATGATGATGATGATGATGATGATGATGATGATGATGATGATGATGATGATGACGGTGATGATGATGATTACGATGATGATGATGATGGCCGTTCAAATCTGACGGAAGCTCAGTAAAGCACCTCTCGGAAGTATGTGTTAGTAGACGATTTCCTTTGAGTGTGGAAAGTCGAAATTAAAATATGTATATATTTTTTTATGTCAATAAATACATGTACCGGCTGAATTTTATTGACAAAGAAAGAGATCGGACGGAAAGTGCTCAACGCGAGGCTCATGCACTAAAGTTGAATCTGAAGCCTTTGCCGTCAGGGACAATTTCTTGAGCTCTCGGAGAACTCATACAACAAGTGTTCGATCTTAGGAAACTTCTGAAGATCGCATAGCGCGTCTAACTGCTGATCGTAACATACATGCAGTACCTATGGTATGAGTATGAAACTTCCTTTGGTAGAGAAATGCGCTTGGTCTCTGAAAGAGCTCGCAGTTTGCACAATAGAGATCGAGAAAGTAGTTTCGATTATCACCAACCCGTTTTGCCTTCATATTCCACAGGCGTACCGCAGATAAGTTTTCACAGGGTATAATGAACTAGCTGTTTTCCCGCGATTTTGCTGCAAAAATATAGCCTATGCCATCCGCGTCTGATGCAGCTTCCCGTAGGTCGGAATCGCTCTGAAACTATCGGTCCAGTAATGTTGGAGCAAATTCGATGCAAACAAACAAATAACCAAATCTTCCCTCTTTATAATATTGGTATAGCTTAGGTATAAGAGGTCCGATGGCGTAGTGAGCTAGCGCGTTCGATATAAATAACAGTTAAGTAAGTAAGTAAATACTGCACAACAAGGACATACATGAATACTTATATTACATAACTAAGTACAAAGGACAAACTCATCGCTACCCAGCGATTTCTTCCAGGCAACCTAGCATGACATGGAAAATAGAACAATAAATAGCCGATTGTGCATACAACTAGATAAATAATAATAACTTAAAAAGACCAAAAACAAAAGAAGGACAGTTTAAAGATATAAGATATAAAGAATAAAATGCTCAGACACAAGCGACAACCAGAGCAAGAAACGAGAAAAAAGATAACATTCCTAAGGACCGTTCACAGGAGGGGTGACCAAAACATTATTATCTTGAGCACAGCGCACAACAATGGCACAATGCACGTTAAGCCATTAGTCCTGGCTGCATCAGCAACCTTAACACTCACCGATCCGCATTAAGCCCTTATTCTATTCGACTCCATTCATAGGAAAAAAGGAATTCTACCAAAATACTTCCCACGCAGACGATGTCGCGGGCACAGCTAGTATTACATAATGTTCGTAATTAAACAATCATATGATCAAAGTTGAGAAGTTTAAAAAGACGAATTTTAAAGTTCTTTTAACATTAATGAGTTTAAGTCGAGTGTTTTCTTGACACGAATTCGAAAAACCTTTTACGCTCAAGTTTCTTACAACATTTTTCAATGCTTTTTGCGAGGAAATAAAACAAATATATAGGTTAATAAAACTAAGTATGTATTAAAGGAAAAAAATATTTGTTAAAATTAAACGTGATATTTGAACATGTTTTCGTGTCATACATTTTTATTTGAAAATATTCGTTCTAGGCTCCTTGAAATACTTTTGCCTCTAAAGTTTGACATATTTTCATCAATTTTTTGGTGAGCTTTGGTGCTCGGCCAAAAAAATTATAATAATAGTTTTAAGCATGTGTGCAGCAAAGGATTTCAGTACATTTTATTTAACACGTGTTTAAAGACTCACTTTCGGTGTTTACAATATATTAAAAAAATAGCGCTTTATAGTAACTGCATTGAAAATATCTATTAAGGTTTAGTAACTACTTTCAGCTGTAATTAATGTTTGAAATTTGAAAGTATCGTTTAATTAAATGGCAATTCAACTGCAACTATGCGTTGTATAGCATGATTTAAACAACGTACCTAATCGCTTTCAGCTTGAAATATATTTAGCCCGTGACGCGGGTCACCATGCATGAATAGGTAGTCGGTTTCATACATTTCCAACACACGCGGTACAAGGCGGATGTCATCAGTGCCATAATGAAATTTAAGAAACGATTACTTAACCCACGCGTGGCGACACGTGGCATGGCTACATATAATTTAGGCATATCGTTGTCATGGATTCATGTAATTATTACGATCGATTGACAACACGGTATTGGTCGGAGTTTCGCCATCATTGTTCTGAGTTCCGTATAGTAGGCAACCGCTATCATTATCATTATTACAGAAAGTGTATTACGCCATAACCTGACCACGTTGAATAGTTACCGTCACATTCCTACCGACAAACTTCTCTTTAGGGCATTATTAGCCTCGAACGCGTAATCGAGCACGAAGGTAGTACGATTGAACCCCTAACCTGTGACGCCAGGTTAGGGGTTCAATCGTACTACCGACTTCAAAAAGTAATAAATGTTTTGTTTAATTGAACCTGTATGGTGCGACAACGTCGTGATCGATGTTGTATTTTTACATAACGGCCAATTTGGATTCAGCCTTCGCTTTTGATCATATCATCATATGTTCAATTAGGTCCAAACTTCCTTCAGTAGTAAGGTATTTTTCAACTCGTGCTATTCTTAGCAGAGCAGACGTATTAGAATGCACCCATTTTTTGTGTTTTATTTATTTATATATAAAGTGCAATATTATTATGTGCCAGAACTTCATGGGGTAGATGTGTTAAATATACTGAACAACTTTTACGATATTGTCAGCGATTATAGGTATTACAATTTCATATGAAACAAATGATTATGTTTACGTGAATTCAGTGGTGGTCCAATAGTAAAAGTCCTGGTATATAATAATATAACACGTTATAACTTTATATTCAGGAATACCATCAGCACATGATACTATAAGTAAACTTTAATTAAATTACACACGGTCAATTTATTTTTTTTCCATGGTAAGCAATAATAATATTTAGCAATTAGTGTGGACAAATCGTAGAGTGAAAATTATGACAGATATATATGCTCCAGAAAAAAATACAAATGTTAACAACATGATCACTAAGATTCAACAAAAACGGCGACCATTAATCCTAAATCCTAACCCTTGATATAGATAAGAGAGTTAAATATATCGAAATCTTTTGAGTTACACAATTCATCTAATCCATACAAATAATCCATTTTCTAACTTCATATGTATATGTAAATGTGCGTATGTGTGTTTGTTACGTTTTCACGCCAACGCAGGGTGATAATAACCGAATTCTCGCGGGCAGAGCCGCGAGCGGAAAGCTAGTAAACAACTAAGTTTTTGAAAGTTATTACGATTTGGATCTAGTTTGTATGAAAACAAAACATTTATATAAGTTTAAAGAGAAAAATTATTCACGTTCGAACTCATTAGGCAGAACTAGTTTCGATACCTTCGATATGTAGGGAAATAATGAGATCTAAATATTTCCACTCTGTCCGGTTCCAAAATGAAATGAAGTGATTAAATGGGCGCTAACGATTGTAAAAGTGCAATATTTTATCAGCTTTAGTGGTTTTCTATAACCGGTGCCAACAGTGGTCCAAGATATAGGCGGTTTGTGTAATATTTCATTTTTATGGGGATGATTACTGGGTAAAAAAAAACGAGTAAACGAGATATATTAGATAGGTTTTTGCTTCAATTTAAGAAGAAATTGCTTAGATAATTGATTGAGGAATGGGGGTTCTAAACTGTGTCTCTAAAACTGTACAAATATGTGACGTCTAGCAACATTTAATTACGCCACTAAAGAATTACTACTAGTAGAAGTTTAATATTTTTCAATAAACCTGATGGACAAACAAAAAAAAAATAATTATCGTCTAATGTGTTGTGAATTAATTTGTAATATTTTTATTCGCAGTTAGAACCACAGAACACGGAAAGTTAGAACACAATTTGGAAAGCCGAAAATTATTTTTTAATATTAGTTTTGTGTCTTGAACAAATGAATTAAGAATTTTTCTTAAGTTGCTCGTAACATTTATCTATACTGAAATTGAAGACAGTTTTGTTTAAGTTTTATTTCAAATGTTTTTTGAATTATATTCAAATTTTAGGTTTATCTGAATAAATAAAGATTATAGTATAACTGAATTCAACAAAGGAGGTTATCAGTTTTACCTGTATGTTGTAATATTGTTGAAATAGCGTAATATTCCTATATGTTAGTCTTTATGGGTTCTAAACGCGTGTGCTAAATGTTAAAAGTCGCAAACCAGACATTGGATTCTTTTTATTATTTGATTTACTCGCGGTAAATAGGTAAGTAATTTTTTATAATAAATTAGCTCTAAAACACAGCTCAAAAATCTTACGAGAGGTAAGTAAAATGTACATTTTCTAAAAAAAACCACAGTAATGAGTACATTACATATACAATTTTACAGGGATAATTTTTGGAGAAGTGGTCGATCGAAATATTTTCTGTATGCTTTTCCAATATATAAGTCGCTAATTCTTTACAACGAGACCACAGATCTGAGTCATCGACCGAAGCATACTCACAATGCACTATATTCTGTCTGTTGACGCCCTGCGCACGCACATCGTGCGCACTTACATTCCGTCTACTACACGTGATAATACAATTGCGCCTAATATATTATTTAAACTAAAATAAAAACCGCTATTAACTTTCTTGGTTGAAAAAATTTTAATTATCAAAATATTTATATTTCGAATTTTAGGAATTTCCAGCTTTTGGGTCACGGCTACTAAACTAAATAGTGGGAAAATATATAATTAAAAAATATATATATAAGAGGAATTTCTTGCTTTAAAACTTCAGTGTCGTGTGTGATATCTCGTTTTGTTTTTTATATAAAAAAACAGTTTTTTAATTGTGAATGTGATTTCATTAGTAACTGTAATAAAACGAAAAGGTCCAATGTATTTTGTGCAATCAAGTTTGAGACCAAGACTGATTTGAAAGGCGATTGTGTCCTAGACTAGACCATTAGGGCGCGATTTGTACTTTAGTAATCGGCATAGTTCAGTTGTGGATTGCAGTGAATTCCCCGAACCGAAGGTGAGTTATTGGTATATTTCTTATTTTAATTTTAGCTGTTAGAATTTATTTTTAGACAAATTGATCACTATTAAATCTTTATGTTATAACTTGTATCTAGATCAGAGAATTGTTATTTAAAACATTAATAACATATTTGTACGATTTGAAATTAAAGTTATTAAAAAAATAAATAATTAATTACTGATGACTTTTCGTAAGTTTTTTCTAGAGATTTGAGGATTCTAAAAAATCTTTGACAACACAGAGTGTGTTGATCGTTTGAAGTTTCTTAAAAGTGTAATAAAATCTAAAACCATCAAATAAAAATAGTCATACCATTATACATATAGTGTGCTGGAAAAAATGAAATGATTTTATAAAAAAAATAACATTTTACCATCGTTTCTTTTCTCTTTATTGAGAAACTACTGCCTATTAGGAACAACATTATTTTATTAAAGCTATATATAAATTACCAATTAAAAGATAACAGCCAAGTAAGCCTACGATAATGCAATATACTATTAACTCATAAATAACTTTAAGTGCAATATAGTAATATTGTAATTATATCGATAGTAAATATTGTTTGAAAACGTTGATTTCCGTAAGCGATTTGATTTGATTCTTCATATTAATAAAATAGGTAGCTAACTGAAATTTTGTAAATCATCAAACATTATAAAAATTATTATTAAACATTATAAAAATTAACATTAACTTATAAACGAATAATCAGTGGTAGTTAGTTGGTTTATTTATAATCGATTGCGTGTTATCGAATGGTAACGTCAAAAGATATTAGAACCGACGAATAAATATGTAAACATAACAAAGGATATGGCGAGAAGATAAATAGCTAGATAATAATTAATCCAATCGTGAAATGGTACCTACGTGAATAGGAACGTTCTTCCAAAAAAGGATTACGATCTTGAAGTGGAACATTTTGTATTAGAAGTTGATTTCAAAGAAGTTGTTAGAAATCATTATACTTTATTTATTACGATTGGTTGATTGGAAACACATTCTTACTTTTTAATAATTATGTATGATAGTTTAAGTACCACTACACATAACGAAGCCATATGCGTTTTTTTTTGTTTTTAACAAAATACATATTCTTGTTGTTTAAATACTTTTTTATATTTCAAATTAGTAAGACGTAGTGAAACTTATATTATATTTTATTGTGTTTATCTGGTGTTCATATTTTATTATGATATCATCGGTTTTTTTGAGAGAAATTGAAAAATATTGTGTTTATTAAATTCCTCTCAATTTTTCATCTATTCGCCCATGAATTCTTGAGTTTAGTGCGTAGTTACAAAAGCGTTTTATGATAAAAAGACTTAAGTTTTCACAATCAATATAGCATAATAAAATGAGAATAAAAGCTCGATATTAACTCAAGTTTAGGGTGACTCGAGTAGTTTTACTGGTAGTGAAACTGGTTTAATTAAGTCACCTTAGAGCGTAATATATTAAACAAAGAAAAATTATTTGTCATCCTTATTGCTAGTCTTATTGTTTTCTATTTCTTGTTTATTTAAGGTCAATTAATGTGTTTACTTCTTCTTCTTCATTAATATCTCCAATGGTGAGTTACAAGTTTCTCTATTATAGATTCACATAGATAGAATGCAAACCACGCGGATCCAGATTACGTGCCATCGATAAGCTTAAGATAATACATGTTAGATCACCATCAGACGACCGGGTTTTAATCGCTTGCCAAACGCACCATATGTTCTTCTTAGTCTGTGAAACGCACTAACCACTGCGCCTAATTAGAACTGAATCTAGCCCCGCTACACTGTGACCGAATTCCAGAACTTAAATCTATATCTATAATATCAAATTATGGTATTTTTAAATAGCCATAACTAGCATAAAAATAAAAGATACCTATTACAAGTAAGTATAGGAACCGGTTCAGTCAAAAGACGTAAATGTCTTGTTTTAAAAGAAAATAAAAATATCAAGTATTACTCGTTCGGTATCGTTGTATTATCTGTGGTATCTTACAAAGATCAATACACAATATTCTTAAATAGAACATTTTTTTATATAATATAATAGTTGCCTAGCGGTCAAATTTCGATCATAAAGTATGAACTTCGCCCGCTTAAATTTTAGCCTATTTGTTTTTAATTATTGTGACAAAAACTAAATAGTTCAATTACCTAAATCACCCACGTCATATATACGAGTAGCTTCTCATAGCATAATCAATGAAACAAATAATGAACTCTTTATTATATTAGTATAGAAGACATTACCTATTTGTTTATATTTGTTTGATATTTAGTAAACAAAAGAATCACACACTTGGCATTGTTGTAGGCAATTTTTTTTTTTTAACAAGTGTACACATTATTTAATGTATTTTTCTCCACATAAACGTCAATCGTGCCTTCGATATGTAATGGATTGAAAACAAATTTTTGTGTTTCAACTATTAGGTATTAGTTAGGTAAGTCTCAGTTGTAGTTAAAGTTAAGGTTTATGCAAAATTTGACAATATCTGTCACGTTGACTTGAACAATGACATTGACTGTGTGTTGCACACACTGACTTTAACATTGACTGTAGAACACGTTGCACCTTGAGGTTGTACCATCCTCTTTCTTGACATAGTAAGATAATAAGTTTTACCAGTTTAATTTAGGCTGTTATAGTTTACAGTTTAAGTTATGACGTCATCCAACCATTATCAAATGATAACTCATTATTATTTGCTCGACCGGTAATTTAACATATTTGTTAATGTTAAAGTAAGTTGGAGCAACTAACGCTAAAATATATTTATTACCCCGCAGAATATTTTTCATTATATCTATCTATAATTGCACACCATAAATAGTGTCGACCTATTTATTTCTACTATAAATACTCAGAAAAAGTAATAGAATGACATCTTGTTTTATTGAAACAGGAAAAATAACAAACAAGGTTCATATTTCTAGCAGAAATGTGTGTGGTAAGAGAATCCTTTTATATTCCTCTTACACGAAGGTTGAATTGGATAGTTTGTATTATTTACGAGGTCGTGTATCTCTAAATATATGTTATTTTTTTACCTTATAATGGACAGACAATTTCTGAAGATGTTCCCACAAGTCATGTAATATTTGAATACATTTAACATATATTTTTATTCAAGTAAACCTATAAGCGAGTCGTATGTATTATAATTAGCTAGTTCTTCTAGTTCTTATACAATATATCTGCAGTCCATACGAGATTAATGTTTCTTAAGCCCTTTTGTTACCACATTACGTATCTTGTCGTATTACCTCCGTGGCTGAATTGCTCGCACGTTGGTACCAAATTCAAGTTCAATTTTCAATCATTCCAATAAAGATAATTTTCGATTTTATATTGACTCTGGTCTGAGAGGATTCTCTGTTTCAAAGGTCGTCGGTGACGGTCCATAAAGGTATATACCGGCCCTGAAAATTACAGATTGATCACACCTATGCAATTGTTGTATTTATTTTTATGCGTAGGTATGTATTTTATGTTTTCATAATTAATTTTTAACCTATAGGCCAGAATCCAAAATTCACAATATTGCATTTTTCCCAAAAATTCAATAATTTTCATAGATTTTATATAATATTTTTAAATGAGCGTAGTGACGCAACACTTTCTTTTTAGAGGTTCCGTAGTAAATAAGGAACCCTTATAGTTTCACCATGTAATTGTAATTTGTCATGAGTATACAGGTTAATTACGGCGAAAAAGGGGTAACATTAATTAAAAAAAAACATATTAAAAAAAATACTAGGGTAGCGTCCATACATGTAACGAGGGGATGATTTTTTTTTCGTTTTCCCCAATGTGTGGAGCATCGATAAATAGATCTTTCGAGGTTATGGGAAAGGTGTTTTTCGATTTAGTAAACCACTTGTGACTTATAAAACTTTAAAGAGGTAATTTTCGTTAGAGTTAAGTGCCTCTCTCCCCTCTACCAACTAAACGTTCGTTGGTAAAAATCCAAACGTAACAAAGTTAAAAGGAAAACTATCACATTTACATAAGTTGGCTTTACAAGTTTACGAATAATAGTCGACCAATTATATTTAACACGAAAATTTTGAACTACTCCATAGAAAACAACTAAGGGGTTAATAAATATGCAAAAATGCATCTTTAAACTACTACTCAGAAGTCCTAATTAAGTTTAAAGGAAATTGCCAGACTGAGTGGAAAGAATATTTCAATGAACGTTCGAAAATTAAAGAAATATGGTAAAATTTTTTACAAAGTGAACCTTCTCGTATACCATGATTTATAGCTAGTAAGTTAGGCAGAAATAAAATGAAACTAATATTAAGAATTAGGTCGGGTCACATTCCATCTGGAAAATTTTCATATTTGTTGAAAAAAGCAACCTCGCCTTATTGCGGAGTATGTAAACAGATCGAGGATGTTACTCATCTCCTGATGGAAGGTGGACGGAACAAAACAGAATGAGTTGTTTTTAAACAAATTTAAAGTGAATAAGCTGGGTATAGGAATTATTCGTGTATGATGTCATCATCCTCATCATCATCACCAGCCCTTTTACGTCCCCACTGCAGGGGCTCAGGCGTTCCTTATGGATGGTTAAGGAGGATGGGCCATGACCTTCCACGCGGGCCCAAAGCGGATTGGAGGATATTAATGACTGCAAATGCAGCCGGGACCAACGGCTTAACGTGCCTTCCGAAGCACGGAGTAGAATAGAATAGAATAGAATAGAAAATTCTTTATTGTTAACATTACACAAAGTTACATTAACAAATTTAAAACATTTTACAATACAATGTAACAATTGGCGGCCTTATCGCTTAAAGCGATTTCTTCCAGGCAACCATGGGATGGAAAGAGAGATAACAATTTATGAAGACGGGGGTGTGTAAATATTATCAATAACATTAAAAAGAAAAAATGTTCAAAAATATGTAGTGAATACATTCATAATACAAATATATCCGATAAATACGTAATATACATACACACATACATAC